ACATACATACACATACATACATACATACATACATACATACACACACATACATACATACACACACTTACATACATACATACATACATACATACATACATACATACATACATACATACATACATACATACATACACATTCGTACATTTACATACATACATACATACATACATACATATACATACATACATATACATACATATACATAGATATACATATACACATACACATACATTTACATACTTATACATACACATACATACACATACATACACATACACATACATACACATACACATACATACACATACATACACATACAGACACATACATACATATACATACATAATATATTTATATATATATATAGACATTATGTTGCATCCCCAAAAACGAAATGAAATTTCAAGGCGGGAAAACATCAATAGGCCTGCTTCCTGTTAACATGGGAAACCAATAAGATGGGATGCTCGGATGTGCCATGGCTCAGTGATTTCCTAAAATCAACATGGGGATAAACCTCAAATACGCAGTATGTGTGAAAATCCAATGGGTTTGACCAAGAAAAGGAAAAAATGGACTTGTATTTGGGGCACATACACACGAGGCAACTTAGTTTTTCTTCAGAAATATTGCAATTTCTGTGATCCCGTGGTTGTAAATGTTGAAGGGGTGAACGGCAAAGATGGCGGTTGTAAGTTTTTTCGAACGAGATGTGGTATGCTAAGGTGAGGTCAAGTCCAAAGCTAAGCCATTCAAAATAGCCAAAATTTTCGTTTTCAGCAACCATTTTTCCTGGCTCTGAACCACTTTCCGGCTAAAGTGAACTGTGGCCAAAACCCTTTTCGTGCCATTCAGTACTCTTAGCAAGTGACTACCAGTAGAGCGAATTTGCGATGATCTTGGGTCTTAGATAATAAACTTGATTATGGTTACCATATGGTTTTCATATGGTTTTCATATGGTTTTCACCGGATTTCCCGGTGGACTTTTCTTCCGACGGATTCGCCACGGCACGCCACGCTGCCGGAGGTTGGTGAAAATCGTCCCATGGAGGGACGTAATGACCTTGACATCGACCCCGGTTGCTTGGCATTTAGCATGGGTTTGTTTAAGGTGATTTTTTATTTTCCCAATGGAAAATCCACCATTTGGGGAATCTATAGTTAATATGTTTTATTTTTTGGGAACCCCTTAAGCAAATCCATGTTAGTGCTGGGGTTTCTGGGAAAATCCATGAGAAAGTCCATTTTAGAAAATTTTGATTTTCCAATCAAATGACTGGAGGGTAGGAGGTGGAGTTGTTCTGGCTGTTTGGAGTTGACAGGGGTACTTGGAGCTCTTTGAATGGTCAAATGCTGGCTAACTGACCCCAAAATCACAAAAATTAGGTAGAGTTCCCGTAGAACCAACAATTCTGCAAAACAACAAAAATGATGGTATATGATGGTATAAGAATTTTATGCATCACAAACAGAGTTAATTTCCTAATAACAAACGTGGTAGCAAGAAATGATGAGATAGCGTGGTGATATGTGGTGATATGGCATCGATGTGAAGCGCTTTGTACACCGGTACACCCTTCGGATACTCTTCGGACATCTTCGGACAACCGAGCTTAACTGGTTGGTGGTTTGGAACATTTTTTATTTTTCCATAGTATATGGGATAATCCTTCCCAACTGACTTTCATATTTTTCACAGGGGTGGCTCAACCACCAACCAGTTAAGCAACAGCAACAGAGATGTCCTGAGGTTTCCTGCATGCAGCCCGACAGCAGCTCGCCAAGCTGAAGGCCAGATTCATTCCTCACCGGGTCGTAAATCATCCCATATCCCAAGATATCTGTGGTATACCCAGTGGATCCCAGTGGTATACTGGTATACCCGGTATACCCAATCAATTTTCGACCACACATTTTGGATGGTTGATTCTTGTGCGATTGCGAGAATGATAATTCGATACACTGGATTCAACCAGAATTGCAATGCCTGTCATGGCATTGCTGATGCTGAAAGCTTTCAATGATATTTTTAGATATTATGTGTGTATGTATGATCAAACAACATGTGCGGGGCAGAACTCGATACAACCAGGGTATTGGCCAAACTGCATAAAATAGT